TCACCAGTGGGCACAGACATGCCCACTCGCTTCTGGCTTAAGGCTCAAAGGTCAGGCAATGCCAGGAAAAATGTTAACCTTGCACAATCCATGGGGTCGTCCAGAAATACAGCAGTGTCCTCTTTTTGTGGGCTTGCCTCCTCTTTCAGTTCATCCTGTTGCCTTTAAGAAATGTCTACATATTCACAGCAAGTTGAAGGCAAAGGAAATAGCAAGGAAGACCAAAGCCACAGGTATTACAACATGGACCTGCTCTGTTGTGGAATGCAATGGTAAGGGGTCCCCAGGCGTTCGCAGTTCGGTGCAGAGGCATCCTGGACATCAGAGTCAGAAACACTCCTGAAGGGACACAGAGGTTGGCTGTTTTTTGAGACAAAGTCTTGCTCTGTAGCCCAGGCTGGCCCTGAACTCACTATGTGGCCCGGAATGGCCTTGAACTCATGACAGACCTACTACAGCCTCCTGAGTGCTGGGATTACAGGTGTGTGTCACCACGCCAGGCACCATCAGTTTTAAGTAATTGCTGTGTTACATTTTAGAAAAGCCATTCTCATTCACGGTGCCATTAACAGTTGGCAGGTGTGCTCACTTCACTCCAGCGTCAGCAGCATTGAGTTTAGTGTTATGTTCTAGTTGAATTTAGTACAATACCTCAAAGTTGAATTTAATTATCTGCAAGGATAATGATTCTTCCAAGAATTTTAGTACGTATTTGTATTTCTTTCTATATGAAGTGTTCTTTTTATGAGCTTTAACCAACCATCTAGTAGTTTTACAGATTAAAAAATGATACCAGGGGCTGGGGATTTAGCTCAATGGTTTCACCGCCTGCTGCACAAGCACAAGGACCCAAGTTTGATCCCTGGTACCAAAAAAAAAAAAAAAATGATGATACCAATCATTATGGGTAGTGGAAGGGTAATAGAAATCTCAAAGGTGTTTTCAAGCATTAATTCACTCTCAAAGTCCTTTTCAGATACAGGAAAAATAGGGATTTTTAACAAGTCTTAAAGTCTTTAAATGTGTTAAAATAATTAAGAAATCAAAATGTTCTACTCTTATCAAGTGATAGAACTATATGTTTTGTATATCTATATAATTTTGAATAGTTGTGTGTGATTGTGAAATTTAGAGAAGAAAAACCAGGTGTGTTTGAGAGAAACAAATTCCACTGCTGGCAACAATTCATTTTAGATATCAGCTACCAAATACATCCGATAATTCAAAGAGAAAGGAAGAAGTTTGTGATATGGGGTGGTATGCATTTGGGAAATTAAGTAAAAGAAGATGGTGCAAGAAAGGAAATTTAAAACCAAACTTCCCTTTCACTCTAGTAAATACTGTACAGTTGTATTTCATATTTAGTCCAAATATGATTTTATTGTGGGAATGGTAAATCTCATAGTTTCTTTATGTAAAAGAACGTATGTAGCATTAAAAGTTCTCCATATACAATTTCTCCATTCATTGTTAGTCACTTCTCACCTTTCTCATTTTTATTTCTGCACAAATTTTTACTTTTATTTTATACTTTCCCTCTCATTTTTATATACCTTTTCTTGCCATACATATTTACCTTTGTTTTCATTTTACTTTATTTTTTTATTATGCATTCTACAAGTTTTTTTCCTACTTACCTATGAACCTTTCGTCTATCAAAGCCCACATTCACTAATTAACCCACCAGTCTCCTTGAGGCATTGATTTCTTTTCCTCTCTTGAATATAAACTGTGGTGTGGCAGAACTCCAAATAAAAGTCATAAGAATTAAATTATAAATTGATTAATTTGATTTTAGGCAATCTGTAATACTTTTATTTAATTATAAAATTTCTTCAACTATAAAAAGAGCAATTAAAACAAAATCTACAGGGACTTACCTAGCTCTAAAATCCTATGATTCTATAGTGTTTTCTCTTTTCTGTATTTTCCACTGTGTTGCTCTCATTCATTTAATAAATATTTACACACCTGCCATCATGTGTAGGCCACACATCTGAGGGAATCAGGAGATGTAGAAGACAGGGTTCTTGCTTTTGAATAAACTGTAAATGTCTATCCAGAGACAAGCAGTATCTGTATATTAACACCTAGTTATTTTCAGGCTGTTCCTGTTCTGTCAGAATAGATCCACATTTTCAAGACAATACCAGTTAACGTTAGTGCCCGCGTAATTTCCAGGTGAGAGGCAGAGTTGCTCTTGAACAAAGTATATGAAGATTTCTTTTTATATTCTTGTATATCTGGGAATCCTCACTGTAGTTACTTTGTACCTTTATTTTATATTGTTTACTTGTTTCTAGTCTAGAATTTATCCATGACAGGAAAATTTGTCACAGAATTGAGACAGGTCTTCATTGTGATTTGATAGATGATTGATTCTTCTCAGTCTCCTTTTCTGTACATGTATATGTCTGTTTATTTGTGTTTGTATAATCCTATTCAAGTATAATACTCTAGCAATTGAGTAAATATGACCAGTAAGTATTTCTGCACCATATATATTTATTCTTTGTGCTTTGGTTTGCTTCTGCATCCATTTTGTAAGGACGCCTGCTTTGGAAACATCTTTTTCTTTCACAGGCTGTATGTACTTCCTGGTAAAAATATACCACTCCATCAGCACTCTGGGAGGCTGAGGAAGGAGGCTCACAAGTTCAAGCCCACCCAGCCTGGTCTCCCTAGTGACACCTTGTCTCAAAATAAAAAGTAGACAAAAGGTTGGGGATGTAGCTCAGTGTGAAAAAAATGTATATGTATATATATATGTGTATATGTGTGTATTACTCCACAGCAATTAGGAACAGTAGGATGGACTGGTCTGGAGGGAAGTGTTTGTGCTTATTAAAAGGCAACACCAAGAATCCTTGTGATATAACTGCACTTTGTCTTGACTTTGGTGGTGGATACATACTGTTATGTACATATGATAATCTCATCTGTGTCAAATAGGAAATCAACTCTAATGTTTTCATTTCGTCATAGAAGTCATAGAATCAGAGTAAGTTTTTGGAAGTTGATTCTATCAGAGGAAACTTTTGATATTGTAAATGCAATTCTAGTCTTAAAAATTCAACATTGAAGAAAATAATATTTGTTTTTTGAGTAATAATACAGATGTTAAATTTAGTAGTGCACAGTCATCAGAAAAGTGTTCTTGATAACTTAAAGTAGCATAAAATGTATTTGACATTGGTTGCAGCACACTCGTCTTTGCATCTAAAGAAACTTGCTGGTTTATCAATATAATAATGTTCAGAATTTACCAATATTTCTGTAGATGTAGTGTCTTTTTTTTTCTTTTGGTACCAGGGATCGGAATCGGGTCCTTGCTCTGGTGCAGCAGGCGGCAAAACCACTGAGCCAAATCCCCGGCCCAGATGTAGTGTCTTTTAAGTAGAAATTTTTTTTTTTTGGTACCGGGGATTGAACTCGGGTCCTTGCGCTTGCGCAGCAGGCAATGAAACCACTGAACTAAATCCCCAGCCAGTAACTAGAAATTTTTTGTGATAATCTAATGTTGAACTTTTAAATTTTAATTGAGCTTAATTTTAGTATTCTAGGGATTGAATCCAGGGCTCCAGCCCTTCTCAAAATTTATTTATGTATTTTTAAATTTTGAGACAGGATCTCACTAAGTCATTAAGTTGCCCAGGCCAACCTCAAATTTGGTGATCCTCCTGCCTCTACTACCCAGAGTGCTGGGATTATAAACATGCACCATCAACCCTGGCTTAATGTTGATTTTTAAAATATGTTTCAGCAGCGCAGTGTTTACATTGTCTATTTGCTACTTGTTGGCAGAAAGACTTTAGAAATTTTGAAAAATATGCATACTATTTTGCATTTCCTACCTGCAGTTGTTCACTGAGCCTGAGGTGGTGTCCTGCTTTTTAAAAATACATTTTTTATCCTGACTATTTTTAGCAGTCCAAAAGGTAACAAAGGTTATATTTACATTATTTCTCATTTATCCTTTTCACTCTCCTTTTCAAGACACTGTCAAATTCTTGACTCAAAATAATTTAGGCCATTCCCTCCCCACTTCACTCATACTTCCCGTACACATACACATATCCAGGACCAAGTTAGGTAAATCTCATTCCTGTTTGTTGCTGTTGCTATTTTCCTGTCACTAGTAGATATTCCAATTAGCTAAAGCCGTGTTTTCTTTCTGTTGATGTTTATGATTTCTGCATTTCAGCTTGTTTTCCTGCAAAAGCTTTGGACACTTACTGAGACTCGTGTGCATGCGTGTGTGTGCGTATATCTGGCATTACAAAGCTAAACTTAAAGTAAATTGGCACAATACAGTCAGTTTGGCTATGTTGTAAGACTTTGTCAATGGCACCATCTTTCTATTTAGTGTTTAAAATTACTCATCACCACAACTTACTAAAGAAAACATGTTAATGACAGGTTAAATCCTACATGCAATGTGGCTTATTATCCTGTTTACAAGATTGTGGCTTTTTGGTGAGATCCCCAATATAACCTATTAAGGATTTGATATGTGATTCTGTTTAAATAGTGATCTTTAAAATTTGTAATAGAAAGTACTTGTCATTGACTTCTTTGAAACATGATATGTATGTGGAAAGTACTTGAATCTATATTTGAATTATCTTATATAGGATTGTTTTTTCTTCAGGAGTGAGGCATTATACATAAATGCCCAGAAGTAGACATTTTTAAAACTTTCTCAACTTCATGCTTCTATAATGCTTATTCTTTTATGCACTTTCTTACTCTTTCGCCTTCTCACTGTGGTCTTACTCTTCCTCATCTGGTGTATTTTAAGCATGTATCTGTTCTTGACTAAAAAATTTTTGCTAGAAGAGCTAGCATGTGAAAATGATGTATAGGCCCTTAACCACATGAGCACAATGCATGCAGTCATTTTGTGTAAAAATTGTCAATAGAACTTTATCCACAGGTATATTAAAGGAAATATTTGACTGGAATTAATTTAAGCCCAATTCTTATTCTTTTTAATACAGTATTTCTCAAACTCTGAGGCCTGCAGAATTCACAAATTGAGATCTGGTATTATTTTCAGACAAAAATCTTCAGTAATGTGTAAGTAGTTTTTATTTTTCATTGTGATTTATTTCAGTTTGTTGTTTTCTATATTAAACACAGTGAAACCTGAATTTACCAAAATTCTTAAGAATTTGAAATATGTTCACCACATAGTAATTGCAAGTAACCAAGGACATCGCATGAATTATTGAAAGATGTCTTAAGATATTTCTTAAATCTGTATTAATACTGTTTATTAGAGGCAAAATTCTCAATGTAAAGAATACTGGTTTAAGAGATTTGAGTTCTTGCCCAAGGCCTGCCACTAACTAGTCAAGAAGTCTTCAGTAAATCACCCTCTGTGCTTTAGTTTCTCTGGCTATAAAATGAAAGGTTGGACTGTGACTAATAATAAGATCCCTTCCCCTCCAGATATCAATTCCTGTCTTTTTTTTATAAATCAAGAATTAGTTATCTTTCAAAAGAGAGTTATCATATTACACATTTACGTTTTACATTTTGATTTTAAATTTTTGCTTGGAGATAGATATAGAGGGGTTCCAAAGTAGACTGGAGACAAATAAGACCTGCCGGCTCCAGAAATCTCCCTCACATAACCCATAAAGGGAAAGAGAAAATAAAATAATGGTAACAGCTTCTGTGAAAGGAGCTCTTAGGGAGAGACTGGTAGGGGGAACTTTGGGCAGGATGAAGGCAAGGACTTGCAGTCTGGAAGGATGATGGGTGAAGAGATGGCTAGAGGTGGAATAAAAGTATAGAAAAAGATGAAGATAGGTAGAAATGAATGAGAAACTTTGAAGTCAAAGGCTGTTACTTTTATCTCAGTTTTCACTGTCTCCTAGAATAGTGTTATATCTTAATAATATATGTTAAAATTTTATTGAATGAATGAATGACTTATCCAATACATTTTTAATTTTGCTGAATGTCCTAACAATGGGTATTGGTCCCTAGACTCAAGCCCCTAGTTTATGCATGTCAGCAATTATAGTTTTTAAGGTTCAGAAAAATGATTCTGAATTATAGAAAAAAAGACATTGTGTTTCATAACATATGCTTGAGGAAAGTTATGAAATAAACATTCATTTAATAAATATTTTGAAAGTACCTATCCACCGTGCCTTGGATACTATCTAGGAATGGAAAAACAGGGTATTGGTAGTATATATTTTCTCCCCTCCCCTCTCTTCCCCTTCCCTCTCCTCCCCTTCCTCTCTCTTAGGGATTGAACTCAGGGCCTTCACAATGGGTTACACCCCAGCTTTTTAAATTATTTTTATTAATTTGGCCTTTTTGGACCTTTATTAATTTGCCCAAGCTGGGCTGAAACTTGGAATCCTCCTATCTCAGCTTTCTGGATATGCTGGGATCAGTATATATTTCTGTGTGATACAGTATTATGAAGTAATTTAGTATAATTATAAAGATTACAACAACTTGGAAAATGCTTATTAAATACACAATTCAAATACTTACATTCTCTGATTTTAGCCAGGTATGAGGATTAGGATACGGTCTGTTCTCAAGAAAGACCAAGGAATATAGTGAACTACAAACCTGATTTATTGTGAATGAAATTGTTGATTTTTTCTTTTGGTTGCTCTGTGCAAATCATAGTTTAAATGAAAATACACATAAATTTGTTTTGAAAAATATGGTAAACATATATCAACTGTAAAGAGGAAATACTATGTAGTGAAAGAGGAAAAAAATAAAATTATTTGAAGAACAGTAGATTATCTTGTTTGGAAGAAAGATGAAGTTCTAGAAATGATGATCTCTGTTTTGTGTTGGTTTTTTGGTATCGAGGATTGAACTCGGGACCATGTGCTTGTGAGGCAGGCGACGGAACCACTGAGCTAAATCCCTAGCCCCTGGTTTTGATAATTTAGGAAAATATGAGCTAGGACAGTGATGGCGAACCTTTTAGAGCTTTCAGTGATAACAGCTGGCTGTGGCATGTGTGCCATAGGTTTGCCAGCACTGAGCTAGGATAACTAGGAAAATATATATTTTTTGAAAGCAAAAAATTTCTTTAAGTGAACTCAGGGGTGGTGAACTGGTCCATTGTTTTAACTTACTACTTTTGTATATAAGTTTGTATTTGCGACTGTCAGTTCCTATCTGGAAGGCGTTTGTTCCTTTTGCCGTTTCAGTAGTAGTTGATCATTCTAAAAAACTTTTCATGTTCAGGAGATTTTGTGTTTTATACATTTTTTCAAATGTTTCCTATGATTTTCACTTTTTCTTTTCTTTTCTTCAGAGTTAGCCTAAGTAACAAATGCTTAATTGCTTTTGCCTAATGGGTGAGATAAGAAATAAAAAGAATCTGAATTGATTGGACAGAGATTGAAAGGAGAAAAATCAGTCTCCATTGGTTGGTGAATGGGTAAAAGCCTTCTTATTAATGACTTCCCAACTTAGTTTTCTTTGACCTTTTTGGAATAGAGAGCATTTCCTTCTTATTTTGTTTTCAAAGAAAATAAATGTAATAGAGTTGTTAGGAAATACTAACTCATTACTATGTTAAATATTTTTAGTACTTTTTTTTGCCTTGTAGTTTTTAACAGTATCTTTCCATTAACTTCTAAAGCCCAAAGTTACTTTTAAAACGGTTGAAAATTAAGAGTAAACATGGCTGTGGTAATGTGTGTCTATAGTCCCAGCTACTCTGGAGGCTGAGAGTGAAGAGTTGGCATTTAACAGTCTTCTCAGAAAAGCAGGATATTACTTGCTAGACATATATATCTAAGTAAAATATGTGGGAACATTTAAACCTTCCTTAGGCTCATTTTCTAAGCCAATAGTGAGACTTGCAATAAAATAGGGTTCATTACTCAGATAAGCTTGAGAAGTCCTGTTACTTTATCAAATGACTGCTAAGCTTTAATTTTCTCTCTCTCCTCCCCTTCTCTTCTCTGCCTCCCCTCAGAGAATTGGAGTACTCTCGCCAAAGAGAGAGTAAATATATAAAAGAGATGTGTAGTATATACACCTAATTTACTTGTTCTTGGGAATCTTTTCTTTGGATATATTAAAACTAAAGTCTGATATGAAACACTTTCTGGGATATTCTGTTATTGAGTAAACTTTTTTCTGTAACAGCGGTCTATGAATATGATAGTGCTGTGGAGTGTTTTCTTTTTTTTTTGGTTCCGGGGATCGAACTCCGGTCCTTGAGCTTGGGCAGCAGGCGGCGAAACCACTGAGCTAAATCCCCAGCCCCAAGTGTTTTCTTTTTTAAAAGTAAAGTATAAGTGATTCTACTTTGTATGTTTTTCTTTGGATTCATTATAAGTATCCATCCTCTATTTGTTGTATCTGCTAAGATTCATTCACAGAGGATTTTTTTTTCTTGTACATTTTTGTGGCTTTAGAATAGGGACTCATTTTCAGGTAGGCTTCATGTATTGAAAACCTGGGTTGAGAGTGTCCCCCTTTAGAGCTGTTTTGCATTTGTTTCCCCAGGGACATCACTCGCCTGAGAACACTTTTATTATTAATTTCTCAGCTTAAGGTTGCTGGGACGATGCAAATGGCTTGAGCTCAAGCCATAAATCTATCTCAGCCAAGAGGCAGATTGAGGCAGACTATTAACTCCTGGTGCTAGTGGATGGGTTTTTTGTTTGTTTTTGCAGAAGTGCTGAATTGAACCCAGCTTGCATATGCTAGGCAAGTGTGCTTCTACTACATCCCTGGCCCAGTGGGTGGGTTTTTACAGTACAAGTATAGTCATTTGAAGCCTTTGGCTTTATGTAGGTGTCTCATTTCCAGTTCCCTATCTGATGTGTTTCTAAAGCTTTGTTTCCTGTTCCTGTAAAGTCTTCAAAAGCAAAAATCCCTTGGTTATTGAGGAGATCAGTAAATTTCCCCACCCAATATTAGCTTATTATAGACTATATTCAGGCTTTTTGTTTCCTAAGTGTTTTGAAGCCCTGAGAATTTCCATTAGTGCATTTTTGCAAGTTATTCTGTACATGTAAGAAGAATTTTGTTGTTGTTGTTTATTTAGGTGACCTAGGTTTCCATGTTATCAAAATTGGAAATGCATCCATTACATTTATAATAAATAAAAATGCTGAAGATATTCTCATTCATTTAAAAAGGGGACATGCTTTGTACTTATAAAGGTAAAGTATATAATGTAATATTAGTGTGAATATTAGGGAGATAACATTCTTTTTGTAATTTTGTGTTCTTATTTGTATATCAGCCACTTATATTTACTTGTCTTAGGGTAGACTACTAGTTTTTTATTTTCCTTTTAGATGTGACCTTATGTAATGGAAGATGATTGAAGACAAGGGACCTCGTGTTGCCGACTACTTTGTAGTAGCAGGATTAACTGATGTTTCAAAGCCTCTTGAGGAAGAAATTCACTTCAATGATGCCTGTCATAAAGTAGCTAAACCAAAAGAACCTATCACAGATGTTTCAGTTATCATTAAATCTCTTGGGGAGGAAGTGCCACGGGATTATATTTGCATTGATGTTACCCCAACTGGATTGTCAGCAGATCTCAATAATGGGAGTCTTGTGGGGCCCCAGATTTACCTTTGCTATAGAAGAGGAAGAGATAAGCCACCACTTACAGATCTAGGGTAAGTAATTTCAATTAATTATTGCTACTGATCCGAATAATATGTCTTCTAGATTTTGAAGTTAACTGTTCATTTTGTTCATTAGTAGAGGTATGGTAGCTTTAGAAAAATAGATATGTTTATATCCAGAATCTTATGTTCTTTTCCTGTTTATCTTTTGTCTCTTTCTGTCCTACAGGTTCCCAGCACTCTTATCTTTCCCTTAGATGCAAAAGACAGGATTTGAAAAACATTCATAGAAAAGTACCAAAAATTGATGTATTGTCCTCATCAGAAACTTTTAATTTTTATTACTTTCTTTTGAGACAGGGTCTTTCTCTCTTTCCCATGCTGGTCTCAAAGTTCTAGGCTCAAGCATTTCTCCTGCCTCAGCTTCCCGTGTAGCTGGAACTATAGGCGTATGTCTTAGCACCCAGCTTTATTTAAAGTACAGAAAAGGATGGCTTTTAAACATGCTGTAATGATTATAATGAGTGTTTAACTGTGTATCAAACAAGCATCTTGGGATTCAGTAGAGATTTACTTGGAGTACTGTATTGAATATGAGATTTTTTATTTATAACAATATTATTAATTTACTTTACTAATTACCCTACAATTCACCCATTTGAAGTACACAATTCAGTGTATCTTAGTGTATTCAGAGTTAGTAGCAGTCACCACAATATATAGTAGAACACCTTCATCATGGCAGAAAGAAACTACTCACTAGTAGTTGCTACCTTGGTTCCCTAACCTCCTTAGCCCTAGACAGTCATAGTTTACTGTCAGTGTATAGATTTGCCTCCTTGGGAAATTTCATGTAAATGGAGTCATACTATATATGGTGTTTTCTGACTTGACTTCTTTTACTGAGCCTATTTTTAGGGTTCATCCATATTATGTATCAGAACTTTATTCCCTCATGTGGCTCAAAAGCATTCCACTATATGGCTATACCATAATTTATTTATCCATTCATCAGTTGATGGATAGTTGGGATATTTCCATGTCTTGACAATTATGAATAATGTTGTGAATATTCATGTACAAGTTTTTATGCAGACATATATTTCATTTTTCTTGTTGTATACCTAGTAGTAGAATCACTGGGTCATATGGTAATTCTCTGTCTAACCTTTTGAGGAACTGCCAGAATGTTTTCCAAAGCATCTCTACCATTTTGCATTTCTACCAGCAGTGTATGAGGCTTTCAGTTTCTCCAAATTGTCATTTTAGCTAGAGCTGTCCTAGTGGATGTGAAATGGTATCACTTCACAGTCTTGATTTGCACGCATCTGACAGCTAAAGATATTGAACATCATTTCATGTGCTTGTTGGCAAGAAATGTCTATTCAGATCCATTACCCTTTTAAAAATTGGGTTTTCTTTATCATTTTGAGCTCTAAGACTTCTTTACATATTCTAAGACAGTCCCTTATTAGTTATATGATTTGCAAATAGTTACATTCATTCTGTGGGTTTTCACCTTCTTTATGGCTTTCTTTGAAACCATAAAGTTTTGATTTTGTAGCTGCATAGTATAAGGCACAATGTTAAGTACAGCCTTAGGTGACGGAGGTAGTAATGGGTGTAGGAATTTGAGTTCAGTTGTGTCTCAGTTCTTGATTGATTTAGAGACAGTTTTGCTAGGTAGTCCAGGCTGGCCTTGAACTCACTCTCCCCCTCCCTTACCTTCCTGAGTGCCAAGATTAAACACATGTGCACCACCATGCCCAGCAAGATCAAAAGGAAGAAGACAGGGCTGGGGATTTAGCTCGGTGGTTCTGTCGCCTGCCTTGCAAGCACAAGGTCCCAAGTTTGATCCCCAGTACCAAAAAAAAAAAAGAAGAAGACAAAGCACTTAAGCTAATGTTAAGGTTAACACAGTTATTGTGATTGAGTGTCAAATTCAGGTCTAAATTTTCAGTAAAATATTGTTGAGAGCCAGGAGCACAAGAGGAATTATATAATTAATTAGAAAGATATGATCATTTTATTTTTATTATTTTGGTTTGGGGGGAATTTTTTTTTGGTACTGGGGGTTGAACTCGGGACCTTGTACTTGTGAGGCAGGTGGCAGTGGGGGGGATTTTTTGAGCCAAGGTCTTGCTCTGTACTTCAGGCTGGTCTTGAACTCACAGTTATCCTCCTGCTTCAGCCTCCCAAGTACTGGGATTACAAGCATGTACCACCATGTCTGTCGATATGATTATTTTAGAAATAATTTAACCAATTCCTGAGTAAGCTTTATTTGTATAATAGGATTTTATATGAAGGACTGTTGATTGTTGTTAAAGACGTTACCTGTTATTAACCATTTTATATGAAACACAGAAACACATTTAATATCATAGAGTTTTTAAAACAATGTGAAGGACTACATTAAAGTCAAATTGGTGCCTTCTCTGAGGGAATAAACGAATATTACTAAGTGGGAGGTTTTCTTGGTGTTTGCTAGTGCCAGTATGGAGACTTAAAAAGTGGATGTCAAGCCTGCCCTTTATTAAAATCCTGTGATTTTTGCCACAGTAAAGAAGAAAAAAAGATATTTTTCACACAGATTTTTTTTTTTTTCAATGCTCTAGATAGAACTCAGGACCTTGTGTGTGTTAGGCAAGTGCTCTACCATAGAGCTACACCTTCAGCCCTTTCTCACAGATTTTTAATTAAAGATAGATCTGAGGTTGTTTTCTGTTGAACTAAAACTCCTCTTGTAGCTAAAGGAAGTATTAGAGATGAAGGTATGCAAGAAGGTCCTATACTGTCTGAGCATGTAATTTACTGTAAAATTTTAACTTTGGCCAAAATGCAAATTTTTTTTTCTTTTTCCTTTCCTTTCCTTTCCCTTCCTTTCCCTTCCTTTCTTCAGTTCCTTTTTTCCTCCTCTCTCTTTCCCTTCCTTTTCTATAGAACTGGGGATCAAACCAGGTGCTCTCCACCACTGAGATATATCCCCTGCTCTTTTCATTTTTTATTTTGAGACAGGGTCTCACTAAGTTGCCCAGGCTGGGCTTTAACTTGCAGTCCTCCTGCCTAAGTGTCCCGAAGTCATGTGCAAGTTGTTTTTTCTAAAGATATTTTGGGAGACAAAAATAAATTAAATGATAAACAAGAGTCCTTGTATTAATTGTTACTACTTTCTGGTTTATGTTAACAAACACAAAAGTTTATTTGAACTTTTTCTTATTTACATTTTTATTGGTGAAAACAGTTATCCTTTAATTTTGTACAGGACTATACAGTTCAAACTTGCAATAAGATGTGGGATATTGTTACCACAGCTACACTTTGGGATGAGTTCATATGCCTGAGAATATTACCTTTCACATTTAAGGGTGCCTTGTATATTTGTGTATTTATTTTTTTATTTGATTTTTAGGGTTTTATATGACTGGAAAGAAAGATTGAAACAAGGCTGTGAAATTATTCAAAGTACTCCTTATGGACGCCCTGCAAATATTAGTGGCAGTACCTCATCACAAAGGATTTATATCACTTACCGAAGAGCTTCTGAAAACATGACTCAGAACACACTGGCTGTCACAGACATATGTATTATTATCCCCAGTAAAGGGGAAAGCCCACCACACACATTCTGCAAAGTTGACAAGAATCTCAATAACAGTATGGTAAGTGATTCTTTTGCACTGAGAAAATTAGCCACTGATTAAAAGAACATTATTTTAAGTTTTTCTTGAAAACTATAACATAATTACAGAATTGAAAAAATGTTGTAAAACATGTTGTGTTTTTTTTTTTTGTACCGGGGATCAAACTCAGGACCTTGCGCTTGTGAGGCAGACAGCAGCACCACTGAGCTAAATCCCCGGCCTTGGTTATTTTGTTTTTTTAAAAATGTATCTTAGTTATACTTTGAAAAGAAGCTGTACAAAAAAACTTCTTTTTTTTGGTACCGGGGATCGAACTCAGGACCTTGCACTTTAAAGGCAGGCAGCGGAACCACTGAGCTAAATCCCTGGCCCATAAAAAAACTTCTTAATTTAAAAAAAAAAAGCTTTTCACCCTAACTACAAGAGCACTGTTGTAACCATGGCTCCCCATACTCCTGACTTGTGACCTAGATTCCATACTGTGCACAGCTTTAAGACAAGGTTTTGGCAATTTTTCCTACTTCTTCTGAATGATCATTTTTTCCCTGTCAGATTACTTCTTCCAGCATGCAAAGCATGTTGCAGGATCTCCTATCGTCACAAAACTTTTTGGCCCCATACCCCCCACCTTTCATTATCCCATTTTATTCTTTACAATAAAATTTTTCAAAATAATTTATGTATATTCCATTCCATTCTTCACTTTGACTCTTTCCTATTAAACTTTTGTCTCTGTTTTTCCACCGAGATTTCTCTTTTTGAATTCAGTTCTCCATCTTAGTTGTTCAGCAGGTCTTAACCTGGATGATCATTTTTTCCTTCTGGAAACAGTGGCAGAAAGAAAGGATGTGTTCTCTTCATATGTGCTTGTTTTCTTTTCCTCCTACCACATCATTGCCATTCCCTTCTCCCCAATTCCTCTGCAGTGGGTGCTTCAGAGCTCAGTCCTTAGTCCTTTTATCTTCACCATCTAAACCCGCTCCCTTGGTGGTCTGATTTTTCACATATAGACTATGTGTGGGTGATTTCTAAATTTATGTGTCTAACTAGGCTGCTGTAATTTATTCTTTTCTTGAATGTCTTTTCTAATGGAGCATCTCAAATTTAATGTGTACAGCACTGGATGCTGCTGTGTGTTTCCAAACCTGCTTATCTACACAGTCTTCCTTGTTTAGCAAATGGAAATTCCACCCTCCTAGTTCCTCATACTAAGAAACCGTGAGGTAATCTTCGATCTTTCTTTCCCAGTTCTCATTCAATATCTGTAAACTCTGTTGATTCTAATTTCAGAATCTGTCTTAAACCAGACCACTTTCAGTTACTCACTTGCCACAACTCCAGTCAAAGCCATAGCAATCTCTTAATGGGATTATTATAATAGTCTTCAAATTGGGGAGCCAGACAAAGTTTTTCTCTTGAAGGCTAGATAAATTAAACTTTGTTAGCCATATATAGTAGTTTCTGTCTGATGTTCATCTTTTTTTTTTTTAACAGCCCTTAAAGTGCAAAAACCAGTCTTAGTCATTATACGTTGTATAAATGTACTGAATTATCTCACTATATTCCGTAAATATGCACAATTACTATGTCTCAGTTTAAAAGAACATTTTTAGTTGAAGTATATGAAAACAGGCCTTACCCTGTTGCAACATATGGCAGGCCATAGTTTGTTGGTGTTTGATCTAACTGATCATTGATTCCAACTCTGCTCTCTATCAGGTATTCTTCATAATAGCAGCAAGGGTGATCCTTTGAAAACAAATCGGATCTTAACACTGCTTTGCTTAAAACTATAATGGCTTTCCAACTCACTCTTAGTAAAAGTCTAAGTCTATAATTGTCTTGTCTTTGTTCCTTTTTTGCTGTTTTCAGTTTTAAAAGTTTTTTTCTCACATCTATGAAGTAGAAAGTGAAGGTTCCATCTTTTGCCAGAGAACCATATTGCTTTGTTCTTTCAGACCTTTTAGTGTGCACATAATATACAGTAAATATAGTAAATTTACCCTTTATCTTTCAAATATTGGAAATTTCTATATATTTTGATAAGAGCATTTTTATTTTTGTTTTTGGTACTGGGGATCGAACTTGGGTCCTTGTGCTTGCGGCGCAGGCGGCGGAACCACTGAGCTACATCCCCGGCCCCAAGAAAAGCATTTTTAAACTATTCATCTGTATTAGTTTATATAACTGTCTACTTAATTCTTTTAATGATTCCATGATATTCCAGAAAATACCAATGCAGAGTGATAAATACAATTTATTTCTAGTTTTTCCCATTACTAATAATGCTGCTTTGATTAATCCTGTGCCTTTTTCTTTGCATTTTTATTACCATGTTGGCAGAAGAGTAAATAATTGCAGATAAAATTGGTGGCTCATGGCTATGCTGTACATTTTGAAAGATGCTTATAGATTAGTGTCAGCCTGTATTCCAAGCAGCCATAGTGTCTAAGAATGTGTGTAAGAATTTCCTAGTTCCCACACCTCACTAGTATTGGTTGTTACCACTTTTTATGAATTGACTGTCTGATAAGTAAGAAATCACTCTAAATTTTAACTTATATGTCTTTGATTACAGTGGAGGATGAGCATCTTTTAATGTATGCAGTAGTCCCCTGTTATCTACAGGAGATATATTCCAAGACACCCAGTGAATGTCTGAAACCTTTGATAGTATTGGACCCTATATATACTATGCTTTTGCTATACATACACACTTATGGCAAAGTTTCATTTGTAAATAAGGCACAGTAAGAGGTTAATGATAATAGCTAATGGTAAAATAGAACAGTTTTAACAATATTCTGTAATTAAATTGCCAGCACCAGTACTCTCACACCTTGGGGCCATTATTTAAGTAAAATAAAGGTTACTTGAACATAGGCGCTGCTATAGCTACTAAATGATTAATGGATGGGTAACATTCAGCAGGAATATGCTGGACAAAAGGATGATTCATGTCCCAGGAGGGATAGAGCAAGACTTAATCATATTACTTAGAGCACTATGCAGTTTAAAATTATGAATTTAAAATCATAAAATTATATATATAAATTTATAAAATTATGAATTTAAATTTATGAATTGGGATGCGGGTATAGATCAGTGGTAGAGTGATTGGGTACTGTATATGAGGCGCTTGGTTGGCTCTCTAGCACTGCAAAAAAAAAAAAAGGAATGAATTGTTTATTCTGAGTTTTCCATTTAACGTTTTTGGATGATAGTTCACCACAGGTAACTGAAAATTCAAAAAGTAAAAATGTGGATAAGGGCAGATTACTGTATATAACAGTTTTGAATGAATATTACTCCATTAGTGGGTGTGCCATGATTTATTTGTTACTTATTCTACTGTAGGACATATTCTACTGTAGGTAGGTACTGTAGGTTCTAATTTTTTGTATTAAAATCAAGCTGTTATTATAACACAGTCCACCATTAAATAAGTTACATTTATTGAACTCAGTGCTATACACTATTTTGAGCATCCATTGACTCAGTTAATTCCTCCAAACACCTTTAGTAGGTATTTTTCCTTCCTTTTTCAGAGAAGGAAATTTGAGAATCAAAGAGGTGGTTATTTTCTACAGCTATACCTACAATAAGCAGTTAAAGCGGGATTCAGATATGGGATATGGAAGTGTAGGATCAAACTCCTAGGCATTGTACTGTGTTGCTTCTTTCTTTGTGTGTCCTAAAATTTCTGGATCAAAGTATATGTATTTCATTTTACTTTATTATTTTTAAAACTTTATCTTAGTGTCTTGGTAAGTTACCCAGGGTGCCCTTGAACTTGCCATCCTTCTGCCTCAGCCTGCCATTGAGGTTATAGGCCTGTGCCACCATACCCACCATACCCAGCTGTGTTTACTTTTTGATATACTGAAAGATTTATATTCCTACCAATAAAATCCAAAAGTGTATTTTTCTTCACCTTGTCAATAATTGGTTTTTTAATCACAATTTTCAAATATAATTTTCTTTGGTGGTACAAAGGATTGAACCTAAGGCTCTCACATTGAGATACATCCTTATCCCTTTTTAAAAAATTTTTATTTTGAGACAGCATCTTGCTAAGTCCGTAAGTTGCCCAGGCTGAGCTTGAACTTGCCTTCCTCCTGTCTCAGTCTCACAGAGTGATGGGATTATAGGTACAACCACATCTGGCCAAATTCAATCTTTTAATAGCGCTAGAATAGATATGTACATTGTCGATTATTTAAATTAATACTTTGCTAAGATCTACTTTGCACACATCTTATCATTTGTTAAGTTTTCATGGGAAGTGGATTTTTAAATGTACTATTTAGGGGTGGGAATTTAGCTCAGTGTTTCCACCACTTGCCTCGCAAACACAGAGTCCCAAGTTCAATCCCTGGTAATCAAAAAAAAAAAAAAAAAAAGTACTGTTTAGCCTCTCAAGCTAACAACATGAGATAAACTAAAAGTTTAGAAAAAGCTGAAAGAGAAACACAGGGCTGTATTGATATGTGGCTAGATTTAAGACAAATTTTGGAACTCTGAATCTGTCTTTAACCCAATCAAAAAGAGCAGAGTGGATCTGTACTGTGTAGTGGTTACAATCATTATAGCCTAGTGATTCAGAGAACAAACTCCGTAGTCACTGTGTCGATGTATAAACACTATCTCTGACAACTACTGGGTACGTGACTTTGGGTAAGTAATTTAAACGCTCTCTGTCTTTGTTTCATGATGTAAAATGAGGATAATAGCAACATGTACCTTATTGTGATGATTAAATCAATTTAGGGCTGTGTCCCAATGGATAAAAACAAGCGTTGTGTAGGTGTTAGCTTGTCGTATATAAGCATCAATGGATCCTTCCAATGGTTAATGTGAAAGCAGATTGAGACATTTCCTGTAAGCAACATCTGCAATTTTAAGGCAGTAGCAGTATTTATTTAAACAGTTTAAAAAGTAGATATTGACATCTGAATTGTATTCTAAGAGTTTATTGTAGGCACGTGATCCCTAGTTTTATGATAATTTTTTCCTAC